CCCTTACTTAGACTAACATAATTGCCATAAGTATAGAAAGCACAGAGAAATTCACTTTATAAGGATACTCAATTCCGTCCCAACCCACAGATGAACTAGAGGAATCTTCCTCCTAGCAGACCGGTCAGCCATCTAGGCAAGTCAAAAAACTTGCTTTCAATGCCGACGGAATCCTCATGGTACGGCCCTACACAACACTGTCATTGAGAATGAAAGTGAGATACAGCTATTTAAACATGTAGTATAACTATAGTATATACAGTCAAACCTCATTTTGAACTCTATTGGACCAAGAGAAAAACTTCGAGATATCTCAAGGTTTGAGATATTGAGGTTCAAATACAATAAAATACTTTTGAATCACTTTGACACATCCCCATCGAAATACCGAAGTTCAACTGTATATAGAAAACACGGTGAAATTTACTTTATCAGGAGAGATATATATATATATATATATATTTAAAGCACTAAAAATGACCAACGACACGAACAATTTCTATTGTTCATGTTAAATAAACCATACAAAATTTCAATCACAGTTGAACTTTTGTATCTTCAACATCGGTATCTCTAATGCCATGGAAATGTCGAAGTGAGTTGGAAGTCCACAATTCTCTTTTTCTATGTATTTTAACCTCAACATCTCGAATCCTCATATCTGAAAGTTTTTCCTCAGTCCCATAGAGTTCAAGATAATAGGGTTTGACTGTATGTGAAGCTAAATTTAATTGCATGGGAGGGACAAATAGTATATTTTATCATAAATGACATCAAAGTAATACCAGAAAAAAACAATACTTTTCTACTTTCTTAATTTTCCTCACAGCAAAAAAATGGCATACATTCATTCTGATTATCAGTTGACAGAGTTATTGTTTACATGCTGTTGTGATTGGTCTAGAACATGAACATTGAAATTCATGAAATATATTTAGGTTTGATTTGATTTTATTATCATTCCCAAGTTGCATTAAATCAAACTGAATTTTTATCATACTAAAGTGTATTTATATTTATTAAAACATTTAAATCTTATAATCTCCTTTACATTCAATTATTGACTTAACGTTGGCATATAGGTCCTGAAACTATGATAGATTTTTAAAAAAACAATATCCTATCATAGAGCTGGGTGTAGAATTTGAACTTTTCTTGAATGATGACCAAGTATTCAAGCATTCAATCAGAAAGGTATGCAAGTAACTGCAACTGAACAAATTGACAACCCTTATATATATATATATATATATATATATATATATATATATATATATATATATATATATATATATATATATATCTATATCTATATATCCCTGAGATAAGCTAAGTATGGTATAATATATGATATTCACAATTCTTATCACCATCTACTCCTATAAACTCTCCTAGTAAAGAAAAACATAAATTTTTAAGAAGAAAAAATAAAAATTAAATACAAGTACACCTAAATACTTGGTTTCTTTTCAGGTTTCTGATTTGTTTCTGATTTTGTCATTCTACTATACTTCTACTATTCTACAGTACCATGTGAAAAAGTAATGCCAAAATATAAAATTATTTCTGAATCAATGAAAAATGTTAATCATTTGTGCATAATGCCAAAATTCAAAGAAAATACAAGAGGCCCATGGGCCACATCGCTCACCTGAGCACATTGGCTAGGCAAAAGCACAAATCAGTTCAGTATTGAAAAGATTATGGGGGGGGGGGGAGGGAGGGTTTGGGCTTGAATTTTAAACTACCTGATGATGCTTCCATGTCAGTATAACAAATGGCTTTGTTGTACTTGAGAAGAACTTGAAAGTTTTCCCATATATTCCTTTGTAAAAATTTGATCCCCCACTGTGGCTCCTCCCTATCCCAGAGGTCACCATTTTAACAAATTTGAATCTATACTACCTGAGGATGCTTCCATATCAATATGACTAAACATAGCTTTGCTGTTCTTCAGAAGAAAGATTTTTCCTATATGTTCCTATGTAAAATTTTCAATCCCCCATTGTGGCCCATCCCTATCCCCAGGGGTCATCATTTAAAAAACTTGAATCTACACTACCTGAGGATGCTTCCATATCAGAATGACTAATCATGGCTTTGCTGTTCTTCTTCAGAATATATTTTCCTATATATTTCTATTTAAGACTTTGATCCTCCATTGTGGCCCCACCCTACCCCAGGGGGTCATGATTTGAACAAACTTGAATTTACACTACCTGAGGATACTTCCACATAAATATGATCAATCAGGGCTTTGCCGTTCCTGAGAAGAAGATTTTTAAAATATTTCCTATATATTTCTATGTAAAACTTTGATCCTCCATTGTGGCCCCGCCCTACCCCTGGGGGTCATGATTTGAATAAATATGAATCTACACTACCTGAGGATGCTTCCAAATAAATATGACTCATCAGGGCTTTGCTGTTCTTGAGAAGACGATTTTTAAAGATTTTTCCTATATATTTCTATGTGAAACTTTGATCCTCCATTGTGGCCCCGCCCTACCCCCAGGGGTCATGATTTGAACAAACTTGAATCTACACTACCTGAGGATGCTTCCATATAAATATGACCAATCAGGGCTTTGCTGTTCTTGAGAAGAAGATTTTTAAAGATTTTTCCTATATATTTCTATGTGAAACTTTGATCCTCCATTGTGGCCCCGCCCTACCCCCGGGGGTCAAGATTTGAACAAACTTAAATCTACAATACCTGAGGATGCTTCCACATGAGTTTCATCTTCCCTGGCTCTGTGGTTCTTGAGAAGAAGATTTTTAAAAGATGCCATTAATTTTTTACTAATTCTTTATTATCTCCCCTTGAAAGAGGGCATGGCCCTTCATTTGAACAAACTTGAATCCCCTTTACCCAAGGATACTTTGTGGCAAGTTTGGTTGAAATTGGCCCAGTGGTTCTTGAGAAGAAGTCGAAAATGTGAAAAGTTTACAGACGGACGGACAAACAGACAGACAGACAGACGGACTACAGACAAAATGTGATCAGAAAAGCTCACTTGAGCCTTCGGCTCAGGTGAGCTAATAAAAAGCACCTTCTCTGTAATGTAAGAAATTAAATATAAATTGTAAAATTGATATGTATTGGTTTAAATTTAATGTATCAAATCTGCTGCCATTGGGGGGAGATCCTTGTAAAAAAAAAAAAAATGATGAGAAGTTGGAGTTTAAAAGTTTTTACTGATCAAATTAAATCAGAAAATCAATCAGCCTAAACATATCAGTAAGAGGGAGAAATTCTTTTCAAAATCGTTTTAAAATTATTTTTTAACCATACCAATTTTTTTTATCAAGTTCCAGCACTGAAACTATGAGCACTATTAGGACTATTATTATTATTATATATATATATATATATATATATATATATATATATATATATATATATACTGAAACGCAAAAGAAATGCAACATCCTATTTTAGGGGGAAATATTATATATAGGATATAATTTTCTAAGAAGTAAGACATCTTCAGCTTTGTAAATATTGGTAATTTTTAATGGTTGAATGATTTTTATACAATTACCGGAAGTTAATATTGAGTCCACTTAACAGAAATCAAAAATTGCATGTTTTACAAAACATTTGGCAATAATATGGGGTTTTAAGGGTTTGCATCTGTTCATCATAAGTAATGCAGCAATATTCCGAAAAATAAATTCTCCTTTCTTTTCTGTAAGCAATGCCAAGGCTTCCTGAAAATGACTTAAGTACACATTTCCATTGCTCTAGCTGGAAAATCTCAAAATAAAGGTGATGGAGAGTTGCAGATGATAAATATTCACTACATCACGCCTCAACAGGCTCTTACGTATCATCAGCATGAATGAAAGTCCTTGGACCGGAAGTCCAAGGGTTACAACACTGCGCTAGGCTAGAGAAAATTCGACCTCATTATCTGAAGAACAGGCATTTAAAAGGGCAAAGAATATTTCTTTCGCCCAGATCTCGAGATTCATGAACCTTATATATATTGCATCGTAGAAATCAAGCTGCAATTGTTGTGCATGGCAGTCTTGAACACTGTAATTGAATGGCCGGGATGGGGGGTGTTTGAACAGTCATGTGTTACTTTCTAAAGTTAAAAGATAATCCTTTAACATATTTATCAAATCTCTGATGTTTTTAAATCGAGTTTTACCTTACTGTATTCATTTTTGAAAATCATTAGATAAAAAATTCAAATATATGTAGATTACTGCTTGTTGCACTTCTTTTGCATTTCAGTATATAATTCAAACCTTCTTCCAACTTTGTCAGTATATCATTATTTCAATTTACCATTTACATTTTGAGTGTGTGCTAGAAAAAAATAAAAATATGAGTAAGTAACAAACAACAAACTGACAAAAACTAGTTCCACTGAAGAGTCAAAGGAGCTAGGTCAAAAAGAAGAAGGCTGCGGAACAAAGGAATAAAAATATAACATACTCAATATCTTAATCATTTATAAAGGAAAAACACTCAGAGAAGGAATGGTTAAATGATAAGAATACTTCATCTTCTATTATTCAAATTACCAATACATGTAATTTGTAGAGTATTTCCTAACAACAGTTTTCACCGGATGATCATTGCACAATAACACATTCAATACCTCTCAAAATTTTCCAGATCTTTTTAATCTGTCCTCTCTAAAATGTTGTGTGATCAGATGACTGTATTTCATAGATATTTATTTATAGGAACATGTTTATACATGCACATAATTCTGATTAAATTCTGTTTTCCCTTGATTTAAAAGACTTTACTTAATTCTTATCTCAGTTAAAATACATGAAATTAACTTGCATCAATAGTTTGATTTTACATACATGCATGTGCATGTATTTTAGGGGTATGTGTATTTTAAACATATCAATACAGGAATGGCTAAAAAGTACAATACATGTATATTTCTATGAAATACTCTTATAAGTAAAATGTAAGTGTATGCTTATAAAACAGACACAATATTTTTCTCCATATAGGATATGGGAATTACTAACAAATAAATGAGCTCCTCAAGTCTTCATTATTAAAATTATACATGAAGATACTTTAAAAAATAACCATACCACACATTTGTAAAACTTCTAACAGTTTACTGACACCGGCTTTGAAAAAAAAAGTTTTTCAAAGATGATTGAAATTGCAATGATGTTTTAAAAAATTTTAGTGTTACAATAATTAAAACTTTATTGCAAAAGAAATTTAAATAACAAAAAAAAAAGTAAATAAAAAATATTTAACACCGGCTGGACATCTTGGATTTTTCTCAGAGATCATGGCCTTGACCTCTTTTGTAGGAGGAGTTGTTTTAATGAGTTTGCCTCTTCCCTCAAAGTCCCTACTTGGGCTCGTAAGATGGCATTTTCTTTTTCCAGAAAGCTGGCCCTAATGGCAATTTCATCTTCCCTTGCTTTGCGAGCATCCCTTGACTTCTTGGCAGCCAAATTATTTCTCTTTCGGCGTTCAAAGTACTTGCCATCTTTCTGTTCGTTAGGAATGGGTTTTTTCTCACTCCGTGGTCGCTTCTGTGTCTGCTGCACTGCTGCTAGAGCACGGGCTAGAGTCGGTGAAGATGCTGATGCTGCTGCAGCTGCTGCAAGCACAAAAGTAAAGCAGATTGAGAAAAGTAATACAGCACAGAATGCTCAGAAATGGCACTTATAGCATTTTATGACTGAAATAATAACATTTCTTTGAATGTTTGTGTGTTTGATTGATTAACATAACAATTAACTGGTAATAACAACATTCAGGTCTAGCATATGTTGCATTTTTCTTGTCGGTCTTAACAAGAATATTACATAGAAACATCTGAATGACTATTTATATTTTTTTTTATTTTCATGTACTCTCATAGTCTCAACTTTTTTCGCATCAATTGTCGATCATTATATGGAAAATGGCAAGCTGACAATAGAACAAATAGTTTGAGTCTTTTTTTTTCTCAAGTCACATTTGTATGCATGCATCAAAAATAATCCTACATTACATATTCCAGCCAAATAAAGGCAAATAAATAGCATCAATTACAAAAAGAGCATTTACCAATGAACATAGTAACTGTTAATCATTAGTGCTTAATAACATCAGAGTTGCTCTAAGAAGATAAAAATCTGAATTCAGGGTAAATTAAACCAATCAATCACAAAATACTTATCCAAATTAGTCTATTATGCATGGATACTCAGTAAGCATAAAAGTAAGGCTATATCTACAGAGAATTTCATCACATTACTGGCTGTGTGCAATATGAACAGATTCCCCTACTTAAATGATAAGATCACCAGATACATGTTGTTCAGTAACTCCAAGATTTCACCTCATTGACCTGCACTTCATCAAATGTTTGAACATATGATACACCCATAAAAGTCGATCATCATACCATTCTACATTTTTGAGTGCTAAATTGCCATAAGATTCAGCTTGTAGAGTGCTAGAATACCAAGTGTAATAAATATAAATATTTCACTTAAGAATGTATAATACTATACAATTATTGCTGGTTCTGAGGTCAATACAATGATTTAGATACCTGAGGAGTACAATATTCACCAAGCCTTAAGGGCAAGGTGAATATTGTGCTTCAAAGGTGGCTAAACCATTGTATTGATAAAAAAAGCAGCAATAATTGTTTTTATCATATGATTCAATGATTAAATGACATAAACTCATTAAGCAATACATGCCATCTTACTTATTTACATTACTGCAATACTAGCCAGACATAATGAGAAACAAAGGGTTAAAATAAACATAACCCATTGTATCAATTTGGAATTTTAATTCTATTCTTAATGAAATATAGATAAAAATAAATGTTAGGTACATATATAGGATCATATAACCATAAGGTTCATAATGGGGGAGGGGCTTTCACTGATCATTTTTATCCTTAAAATTGAAAATATACCTTCTCAAAAAAGGTGATTTTTCACTTTATAAGAGAGACAGGAATTGTTCAAAAATTGTTAAAAAAAATTATTTCACATTTGAAAGTGTATACATATGTATATCAATTCAAATGTATGTAACCCTGCAGACATATATATATATATATATATATATATATATATATATATATATATATATATATATATATATATATATATATATTAGGGAAGGCAATCAGGTAATTTTTTTGTAACTCATAAATTTTTCCAACCAAGTAAATGGTTCATCAAACAGATAAGACTTGTTCATTATAATTCTATTATGATTTATTCAATTTACTTTATGTATGAGATTGATCCAAAAGTAATGTCACAATTGCTATAAAATCTTCACAAATCCAATATCATCAACAAAATTTTACATACTAATAATTCTCTCTATTTGGATTTTTGCCTTAAAATTTCATTCAGTTATGTAAAATACTTTTTAAAAATGTAAACACAATCTTAAGTTTTGTCTATCACCGCACGTCAAAAATGTAACTGACATTGTTATGACATTACTTTTTCGCACCCATTTTCAGTTTATCTGCAAATCTTTTTAACCTCTCATGTTTCTTGTTTATAATCTTCACTGCCATTTTGTTAAAAAGTGTCTTGTTTTTTAGTTGTACCATTAAAATTATTTAAACTTTCCATCTATTATTTTTACTTTATAACCTTTGGCATAGATAGTAATTAAGTGACACTAAAGGTTAATTGACTGAGATTCCCTAATAATCATGTGCTCAGCACTTAAAAAGAAAACTTGGCAGAGAACTACATGTATTTGGAACAAGAGGATGTAATGATTATAATTACACATTATGATCAAAATATTTGTCATGAGGGAAGTCACAGATCCTATACAAAAGGAAACTAAAGTCAGAAGGCAACACACAAAGATCACATAATCACAGGAAAAGGACCTATTAGCATTGCAGAGCTTAAATTAGCTCGGTCTCTAAAAAACTGAATTTGTCACAATGATGTAGTACATGTGTAAGAAGTTGCAAAGATAGTTTTAAGTTTTCTAATGTGTAAATATTTCTGAATGTAATGAATTTAATTCAAAATTTGATAAGGAGAAAAGAGATTATAGCTCTCCAGAAATACAAATAACTATTGAACAGGTCAAGGAAACTATTTTCTGTGACGTCAGAATAAAATTACATGCTAAATAAGGCACCAATGTGACTGACAAACCGACCAATCAGCTAAATGAGTTGCATTATGGGTTACTACAAAACATACTACATGTGCGTTTGGAATAGGCCAATTTTTCAAATCGCTCTTGGAAAGACATGATGCATTATTCCAAACATTTTACACACTTAATACAATATGTACAACATTATCTATTAATTCCATGCTCACATTTACATACAAATGTTTTACAATGGTAAAATGTGGGTTTCCTACACTCCATTGTACAAGTCCATTAGTTGACAATTGCCTTGCAGCTTTTCCCGTGCTGTACTATCAGTGAATATGAATTTATCGTGACCATATTCCCTGGTCCAAAACATTCGACTCTGAGGTGTACTCACGTATTGTCATTGTTTACTATGTATACAACTTTGATAGATATGCTACTCAATACACATGGGAAATCTTAATTTGTACCTATTCTACATATTTTTCACCAAAACATTAAAATTATCATTAGTTGACTTTCCCGCAGTCATTTGAAATTGCATCCTAAATTTGCCTGAACCACATGTTTGTTGTAAAATATAAACATGTAGTAGACCATCATGCTTTTCGGCTTATTCACTGGATTGGACCATTGTTCACTCTAAAGCCCGCTGTGTGCAATTACAACAATATCCATATTAGGTAGATTCCTCAACCTGTTGAAGCTTATACATGTATAATTAAATCATTAATATACTCCAGGGTCATCAGTATTTCTGCACTGCTAATACGTATTCATTACAAACTTCACATTTTAAAAATATTGTAAAATATTTCTACTTCGCACTTTACAAATCATGCACCATTGTCTTATATAAAGCTGAAATTGTTATTTTTCTGTATTACAGTTATTATAATTCACTGAGATAATTAATCTTCATGTATGGAATTTGAGCTTCATATATTACAAAAATTCCTATTAATCAAAATTACTGTACCAGATTCAAAAAAGAATTGCATCTTAAATTCACTTGAAAATACTAGAAATAGCAGGTAAAATTAAACATTATATAAATCTAAAATCTGCATATCTTGTGAGAATAATGACAAAAGCAATAATTTTTTTGTGTAATTTTTTTAAAATACAAGTTCTTTGAAGGATTATAACACTAAAAATTAATACTTTTAACCCTTGAGTGTATTTCATATAAAAATGTAAAAATTTTGTGGGGTGGAAGAATTAACAAAAAAAACATGAATTTCAAAAAGAAGAAAAATTGTGCATGTTGAATTATAGAAATAACTTAATTGTGCATTATATCATAATGTTGTTAAGAAATGAAATTATACTACTTTGGTCTATGCATAATAAGTGGTATTTTTACATTTAACTTCTCTTCCAGGTGGTTTTTGGGGATTCTGATATCAATATCCCATTAAATAGGAATTAAAATAAGAAATCAATTTGTTACCAGATGAATAAACAGAGAGGGGGTAAGATTACATCATATATACAACTGTAAAGCTGTGAGAACAACAAAAGAATGAGACCCACTGTTAGCACCCTATAACACAGGGCTGGGCAGGTTGGAATAATACTATTGTCTTACATAATGCTTGTCTACTTTTAAGTACAACTGGGGTATTGCCACATTGTTGATAATAGTTACTGTCTGGTTTGCATGTCTGGTTCAAAAAATCTAATTAATGACATACCTTATATTTTGGTTACTCTTCAAAGAATATACCTCTAGATAATGTCAATTTGCATATCAGTGAATGTACAATTAAAAAAAATTTTCGATAAAATAAAATTATACAATTTATAAATTATTAATTGGAAAAAAATTCTTGACAAATATCTTTCATATCTAAAAATTAATTAAGAAATCTGTTTGGTTTTTTCTCAACAATTAAAAGGAAAATAAATCTATAAATCTTGATAAAGGGAACTTAAAATACAGATTAAAAATTAAAAAAATTGACAAATGTGAGTAATAGCCAAATCTAATTTAAGAAAAAAAATCATCAGAAAATAAAGCATGCAGATATTTGACTACATAAATCTCATGAACAGGATAAACCACAGACAGTATGTCAACATAAGGATATATTACCTAGGCCTTGAAACTGCATGTAAGGATTAAGATAACTGGATGACATAGCTCCTGACTGATAATTGTTTGTATGTAATCCTGTATTTTGTCCCATGTAGCCATGACTCATGGAGGGTGCCACTACCATGGAGGGGCCAGCTGAAGAGCAATGTCCCTGAGGTATTCCTCCTGATGGCAAATAACCACTACCACCAAGTCCATCCATCATATAAGAATCACTAAAGTTAGGGTCCATGCCTAGTTTTCCATAGCTTCCCTCGAGGTTCAATTTAGGGAGTCGAGATTCAGAAGGTTTATTAGTCTCACAAAAATATTGGTTAAAGCTATCTGGACTTTCACGCCCAAGTTTGTTACCATCAAAGCATGGGTTATTACCATACGAAGCCATTCACTAATAACACCAGTAA